TTGACTTAGTGAGTGGAAGCCTCCTGGAGGAGAAGGGCTTGGAAGTTAAAGGTTGAAAGACTTAGAAAAAGAGTGAGGAGAGAGAAGACATGTCAGGCCTGAGACTGACTTTAGCAAAATCCTAGAGATTAGAGTTTCCCTGCGAGGGTGATGGGAACCATTGAAGGCTCCTGACCAGGGGTAAAGCCCAGCTTCCACTGCTGCCGAGTCAGCGCGGTCTTTGGGAGGAGAATTTGGAGGCACCCACCCTTCCCCCCTCACCCCTTCCAGTTCAGCTTACGTGAGCGGTCGCTCTACGCGGCTACCCTGGCCTCCAATCACCTCTCCCAGGGCCAGGAACGCTTGTCCCAGGAAATCCTGCATCGGGATGTGCAGTCAGCAAGGCCTGGAGGGACGGGGGCGCAGAAGCCCAGCCCAGCCCAGCCCTGGAGAAAAGCCCAGCCCAGCCCAGCTGGAACGCCCAGCGTGTTTGGAGAAGGTGGGACATAGCAAGGACCACCACCCTACCGGTGCTTTAAACAATAGGGGGGGAGGGGGGAGGGGTCCTTGGCAAGTTGCCCTTATTGGTCCTGCCATTATTTTAAGCTGCTCTCCAGGTTGCTAACCCACCCCTCGCCTCCACCCTCCCCACCCCGTGCAGGGGGGCAGCCTCACCTTCTGCAGGACCCAGCAGCGGCGAGAAGGCAGAGGAGCAGTGAGTAAGAGGCACAGGTGGGAAACCGAGGCAGGAGCAGGAAAGGAGGGCCGGGAAAGGTGGGTTGGGACCAAAGAAAGTCGAGACGGGGTTGAGGTGTACGAGGGTTCTAACGAGGGTCGTTTAACACATTGAGCGCCGCCTGTGTGCCCAGACCGCGAGGGGACGCGAGCTCACCGGTTTGGAGATGTTGGTTTTGGAGTCCACGTTGTACCTGGAAAGAGAGTGGAACCAGGGTGGGGTGGGGCTCGTGGGAGAGAGGCTGGTAAAGGGGTCGAGTTTTGAGTGCCGGTTAAAACTGTGGGTGGACCCGAATTAAACCTGGATCTCCTTTAGGGTAGGAGCCAAATTCAGAGAGGGTCAGGCCAGGGCG